TCAAAGTAGCCACCCTTTGCCTTCACTATTATTCTACAATGTAAATTTTTTTATAAAATAAAATAAAAACCATTGAATGAGTAGGTGTATGTCTACTTGAGAATGTATCTAATGAATGTGTTTAAATGAGCGTGTGTTTGCAAAGATCTGCATCTGTATGCGATCGAGATGGAGGGTGTGCGCATGCTTGCCTGTGGCAAGTTTGACTGAGACACTGTTCAATATAGACTGTGGCAAGTTTGACTGAGACACTGTTCAATATAGACTGTGGCAAGTTTGACTGAGACACTGTTCAATATAGACTGTGGCAAGTTTGACTGAGACACTGTTCGATATAGACTGTGGCAAGTTTGACTGAGACACTGTTCAATATAGACTGTGGCAAGTTTGACTGAGACACTGTTCATATAGACTGTGGCCTGAGGGTGTAAGACCAGACATGCTGAAGGCCCAGGACGGCGGACGGGACGGACGTCTCTCCCGAAGTGTTTCCCCGCACCCTGGGGAGGTTAGGTTTATTTTATTTTTATTTTGAGTGTTTAATGTATTAAAAGGGCCGAGGTAATGAATTATAATCTTTAATGCAGCGACCGATCGATACCACAAGAGAATAAATCAGCTTTTACTGAGAGCGTCAAACCCTTTAATACACTAGGAGAGAGAGCGGGAGTAGAGGGAAGGAGGGAGAGGGAGGGGAGAGAGAGCGAGGGAGGGAGGGAGGGCAGGGCTGGTTCCAGGCTTAAGCGACATAAGCAGCCTCTAGGGGGCCCCTGGCCCATTTTTTTAATTGTAATTTTAGGAACTCAGTCTGGGTCTCAAAATGTGGTTTTGCATCAGCAGTTTCGCTCTTGTTATGTCAGTCACAGACAGTCACTCAATTAGCCATGTCAGCTAACAATTTTTTGATTGGTAGTTAGTCTGGCCAGCTTTCTCAACTTGTAGTAATCAGGCCCGAATAACCTACTGGGCCAGGTGACCAGGATCTTCCCCTGAACCTGCATCCCTCACTTGATCCTCTAGTCAATTCGCCCCCCCCTTACCTACTTCTTCCATCTCCCCGCCCTCTCCTTCTTCGCTTACCCAGACCTTTCTCCCCCCCCACACCCCCTTACCCGACCTTCCCCCATTTTCCTCTCATCCCCGTCCACCCCCTCGCTCTACGTTCCCCCAGACCCTTTTTCCCCCTCCGTCCCCCCCTCCCCCCTTTCCCTCCACTCCATCCTTTCCCAATGCGGGGCACCTCTCTTCTCCCACTCCCCTCCTTATTCCTCCGCAGATCCACTTGTCGTAACCGTATCCTTCTCCCCTTTCTTCCTCCCCACCCCTGCTCGTCTTTACCCTCCATCCCAATTCACCCCCGGGACCCTCTCTCGCTTCGTCTCGATTAAATCTTTTCCTCGACCGAACCTTACTTCTGCCCACCGGCAACAACCCATATTTCTTCTTTCCTCCCCTGCACCCCCACACACAAACACACAAACAACACTCACCACAAAAACCATAAATTAACCCACCACACACCACAACACACAACCCACCACACCCCACTCAAACCTCCACACCCAAACCAACGTACCACCCATTCCCCCCCCTCCCCCCTTATTCCTGTCTCCGCCCCGTCTCTCTCCCACCTTCCTACCACTTCCCCCTCCCTCACTCCTGTCAGCCCCCTTAATTTCCCACGTGTGTTTCCTCCCAGCCATCCTTTTTCCCCTTTCACCCCCCTCTTTTTTGTTCTCCTTCTACCATCTTCCTCACCAACCCCCTGCGTAACGCCACTCTCCTGCTCCTCCCCCTTCTTTGACTTCACATCCCTCCCCACTCCCCCTCTCTTCCTTTTCCTTCGGTCCCCCTTTCTCACAATTTCCCCCCGGTCCCCAACACCGCCCGCTGTCCCATCCTACCCCCCACCTCCCCTATTACTATTCTCCACATCTTACCCCCGATCGCCCACCTCCCCTCTCTGGTCCTCCACCCCCCGTCCACCCCCTCCTCCTATTTCCCATCTCCTCTGTGAGCCCCTGCCTTCACGTTCCTTTTTACTGCCATTCCAATCGCTCCCCCGCGTCCCACCTCTCACTACACATCCCTCCTATCCCCTCTCCTGAACCCACCCATCATTTCCGCGCTCCAACGTTCCTTAGTTCTTCTCTCCCTCAGTCCCTAGTTACCCCCCTGCCCTCCCCCCATCCTAACGCTCTACTCCTCCCGCTTACGCTTTTACCCACCACATCTTCGCCTTTGCCTTTTTTTCCTTCTCCCTGTTCCCGCTCCTTCTCATGCCCCCTCACCGTCCTTCTCCTCCTGCCATTGGACCATTTGGGCCCTGACTCCAGGGGCCCACATTGACTTTCTTAGTCATTCTCACTCATATCATATTAACATGGCATAAGTCATTACTCCGCTCCTCCGCACACTCCACTGGCTTCCAGTTGAAGCTCGCATCTGCTACAAGACCATGGTGCTTGCCTACGGAGCTGTGAGGGGAACTGCACCTCCTTACCTTCAGTCTCTGATCAGTCCCTACACCCAAACGAGGGCATTGCGTTCTTCCACCTCTGGCCTGCTGGTCCCCCTACCTCTGCGGAAGCACAGTTCCCGCTCAGCCCAGTCAAAACTGTTCGCTGCTCTGGCACCCCAATGGTGGAACAAGCTCCCTCACGACGCCAGGACAGCGGAGTCACTGACCACCTTCCGGAGACACTTGAAACCCTACCTATTTAAGGAATACCTGGGATAGTATAAAAGTAATCCTTCTACCCCCCCACCCCACTCCCACAATTTTTAAAAATAATAATAAATAATAATAATAATAATAATAATAAATAAATAAATACATTTAAAAATACGATTAGGAAACATTTCTAAATATTCTCTAAAAATTAAGAATTAAAAAAATAGAAAAATAGAAAATAATTAATTGTAAAGTGGTTGTCCCACTGGCTATCATAAGGTGAATGCACAAATTTGTAAGTCGCTCTGGATAAGAGCAACAGCTAAATGACGTAAATGTAAATGTAAATGTAATAACAAAATGTGTAGAGTTACAAGATATAAACTTTAGGGGGGGCCCTCCAACCAAATCTTGCTTAGGGCCCCCAAAAAGCCTAGAACCGGCCCTGTGGCAGGGAGAGGGACATAAACTGAAAGAGAGGGAGAGAGAGACTGAGAGAGAGGGACAGACTGAATGAAGGAGGGAAAGGAGGGAGAGAGAAATAGGGATGGAGAAATGATAAAGAAGGAGGGTTGTGGATAGTTACCTTAGGGGTAGCCTCATTGACTAAAAGCCCCCTGAAAGCTCTAAGATTGTGACAGTTTTGTGAGGAAGCAAGGTTACAGGGTCAGACTCTGAGTTAAGACAAACACTTATTTTCTCTCTCCTGCTGTCTGTTGTGTTGTTTTTCTCCTCTCAGCAAATCCTCCTCGGTCTCAGAGCGTTTCCACAGCCCAGGGCTAGACTTTAATTAATTAGACGAAACATTATTTATTCCTCTCTCTCTCTCGATCAGAGTTCAGTTTTCTAGGTCTCTCATTATACCTTCTCCAGTCCTACAGGTAGCTAGCACCTCCGCCTGCGGAAATAATACATCAACAAAAATAAAGATATGCCATGAATATCTGATATCACTAACTACATTACCACTTCCATCTGACTAAATAATACATAAAAAAAACAAGCTTTTTAGTCCGGGAGTAGGCTTAGTCTGTGTCCGGGAAATAGGACCCTAGTGTTTGCTGGGTCCAAGTCAGTGTTTCTGGCTCCCAGTGTTTGCTAGGTCAGTGTGATTTCAGGCAGGCAGTAAAGCTAAAGCTCTGGCCTTTAGTAGCTCTTTAGAGAAGGCCATCCACATTAAAATGTGATGTCTAGGGCTGAGATAGTTAGATAGCCAGACTCAGAACAGAGAGAGAGAGAGATCTTCACAGATAGACACAGATGGTATTACACCACTCCCTTTTTCAATGATTTACCCACCACTACAGACACATACTGACACGTTAAGATGGCCGCTGGGCTGTGTACTGTTATTATAACATTAACTTTTATTCTAGTCTATAGGCTGAAAGGAATCAGAATGTCCATTTTCTTACACCCGTACTCTTCAAACTCACATGTTAATGACCACTGTCCTTCAGATGTATAATTTATAATATTCTATTGAACATAAGGAATGAGGAGTTTAAATGTCTTTGTTCTGGGTGTTTATTTCACTGCTTCTCTTCACTTTGTGGTTGCTGTCTGTCTGCAGGTGTCAGATGGAGTCTAACTGTAATAACCGACTGAGTGGCAGACCCAATATCATCCTCCACACTCACTCACGCTGGATGCATCTCAATTTCATAAACAAAATGTTCAGAGGCTGGGGCCTCGTTTTGATTAATGTTGCCATGACAACTACATAATTCATGAATTGTATTAGCGTTCCATTTGTCTTTTTTTCTGAATCATAATTCACCAGGGCTTCAGTGGAGAGAAAAGACTCTCTCTCTCTGCTTTTATCCTTTAGTGTCTGTCTTCTCTCCCGTCTTCCCTTCTTCCCTCCACCCTCCCCAGCTGAAATGCTGACATGTTGCTCCCTTGGTGTAGGATGGAGGGAACCAGAGTGGCCCTACAGTCGTGATGAACCAACAGGCCTTGCTTCTCATTTAAAAGATGCTCCCTCATCTGAACTGTATTGGTGTCTAACTAGCTCCTCACTGACACCCATTGGCCAGAGGAGGAAATGCTGCTTGTCGCCCCAGAAGAACAGAGACATCTCTTCAATGATATACACAAATAGAGTAGTAGCTGGTAGAAGAAAAAAAAATTAGTTTACAGTGTATGGAAAATGGATCAGAAATACTTTATTTTACTAGGCACCTTTTACAAAAATCTGACAAAACATTTGAATTTGACACTTTTAATATGAGTCCCTATCTGGATTCAGATCTGTATGCAGAGGACGGAAGTGTGCAAAGGATCATGGTATTTCCAGTTGAAGCAGAAAGGCAGTAATTCTCTCTTAGTTCACTGGTTTGTCCTTACTGGACTGACAGCAGGGATCTGAGTTGAGATGTCCTTCATTGTTGTCCCCACTCACGGCTAAAACCAAACACACAAAGGTCCTGTCAAAAGCAGTCACTTCACTTCAATTTGTCAGGGCTGGTCAGGGACATCAGTGACAGTTGGTACACAAATTCCCTCATGTCTAACCCCTCCCTCTGTCCTCCCTCCACCTCTCCCCTATAGTCCACACCTCCCTCCTCACCTCTCCCCCGCTCTCCCCCCACTCCTTCCCTCCCTCTTCATCCATCTCACCTCTCCCCTCCCCTCCTCACCTCTCTCCTCCCCTCCCCCTCTACCTCACTTCTACCTCCTCACCTCTCTCCTCCCTCCCATCTATCATCACCCATCTCCCCATCCTCACCTCTCTCCTCCCCTCCCCTCTATCCATCACCTCTCCCCTCCTCACTTCTCTCCTCCCCTCCCCTCTATCCATCACCTCTCCCCTCCTCACCTCTCTTTCCCTCCTCCATCACATTCTCCTGGCTGTTGGTGGCTGAGGTCATGGGGGTGGTTTTGGGAGTGAGTGTGTCTGTAAGGCTGCTCTGCCCCTCCCAGATCACTGTGGAACCTCTGTCTGCAGATTGTAGACGCTGGAGGGGTGAAGTATTCTTGTCTCCGGGACTGAAGGACTGGGAACCCAGTTTTCGACGGGAACCGAGCTTTCGACGGCCCCCCGAACCTGAACGCAGTGGCAGCCCATACAGCCCTCCCGCCTGGTCAGAGTCACCCAGGGAGGGGGCACGTCGCAGGGGGCAGCGGGAGACGGGGGCACTGCGGGGGTCTGGAGGAGAGAAGAGAGAGTACAGAGGGGTGAGATATAACAGGGGGTAGGGTGAGAGAGAGAGAAAGAGCCAGAAAGAGAGGTAGAGAGAGAGACATATGAGGAGTAGTATCAGTACAAATGACTCATGTAGTGATTTGAATGTGATTTGTGTTTGTGAATAATAGTGTCTGTGGTCTCTCACTGAGTTGTTCAGTGTGTGTGTGTGTGTGTGTGTGTGTGTGTGTCTGTCTGTGTTTGTCTGTGTTTGTCTGTATAGTCTCACCAGTCACAGCAGCAGTCTGTGTCTGTGTGTCTGGTGGGTTGTCTGCACTGTCAGCCAGGTTCTCTATACTGCCAGCAGCGTAGAACAGAGCACGTCCCTCTCTCCCTCCTCCTCCTTTAGGCTTAATCAGCTTCTTCATCCTGTCTGCTATCCAGCTGGACTTCCTACAGAGAGGAATGGAGGGAGGAAAGGAGGAAAGGAAGGAGAGATAGCGAGGGAGGGATGGAGAGGGAGATCAAGATCAATAGGAAGTGTGAGAGATGGAGAGAGTGTGGGGGGGGTTACAAAAAGAGGAATTTGGCCTCGGTCTGTGTGTCTGTGTCTGCATGTGTGACTGCATCCAAACGCACTGCTGGAGTCCAGAAGAAACGCTACAAAGCCCACAGTAAGGACCTATTGGAGCGATGTGACATCAATCCCTCAAACCTGGAACCTCTCTTAACGTGTTTGTGTGTGTGTGTGTGTGTGTGTGTGAGCGTCTGTCTGTGTGAGTGTGTGTGTTTACTTGGCCTTGCTGGGTGTAAGCATGCTGGGATCCAGAACTCTGTACTGATCCATGATCTTCTCCACCAGCTTCTGTTTCTCTCTACGCAGCTCACCCATCTTCTCCCTGGAGAGAGGAGGAGAGGAAAGGAGAGAAAGAGGAGAGGAGAGAGGGAGGTGGAGAGGAGAGAGGAAAGGTAAGGAGAGAGGGGAGGAGAGGAGAGGTAAGGAGAGATGAGAAATAGGACATTCGTGGAGAATAGAATAACAATCTTTCCGTTAATGTGTGTGTGTGTACTAACTGGTACTCTCTCTGCTGTGAGTGGTGCTGGTCCTTGCGCTCCAGGCTCTGCTCCATCAGAGCTCTGTTGTGATTGGTCAGACTCTGATTCTGCTCCAACAGTTGATGGTTCTCTTCCTCCATATTACCCTTCAGCTGGGTCAGCAGCTACACACACAAACACACAGGTTTCAGAATAATTTATAGTAAACATAAGGTGTATGTGTGTGTGTGAGACCATCCCTTCCTCCTGACCTGGTACTGGTTGGTAAGGCGGTCGGTGCTGAGCTCCAGTCTCTGGTTGTTCTCCCTCAGAGAGCTGATCTCTCCCTCCAGCCTGGTCCTCTCCAGCTGGGCAGCACTCAGCTCCCCTCGCAGCACCGAGCCCTGGGCCAGCAGCTCACTCTGCACCTGGGCCCACTCCCTCTGCACACCTTGCAGCCTGGGAGAACAGAACAACATACATTTACAGACAGACAGAGAACCAAGGATTTACTTGACAAGATAAGAAGGTGAACCAGCAAGTCAGGCTATTTGTCAGTCAAACAACCAACTGCCAGGTGTCTGACTGAGTAGATCCGTGATGAACTGAATAGATCAGGGACGAACTGAATAGATCTGGGACGAACTGAATACATCTGGGACGAACTGAATACATCTGGGACGAACTGAATACATCTGGGACGAACTGAATACAGCGGTGTGAAAAAGTGTTTGCCCCCTTCCTGATTTCTTATTTGTTTGCATGTTTGTCACACTTAAATGTTTCAGATCATCAAACAAATTTAAATATTAGTCAAAGATAACACAAGTAAACACAAAATGCAGTTTTGAAATTAAGGTTGTTATTATTAAGGGAAAACAAAATCCAAACCCACATGGCCCTGTGTGAAAAAGTGATTGCCCCCTACAACCTAATAACTGGTTGGGCCACCCTTAGCAGCAACAACTGCTATCAAGTTTTTGCGATAACTTGCAATGAGTCTTTTTGATAGAATAATTATTAATGACTAATTATTACACCCTGAAACTGTGTGAAATGTGTTAGAATGTGTGAGTGTAGGACCAGTAAAGACTATGACATTGAGCTACTATTTAGCAATGTGAGGAAGAGTTAGACCAGACAACAAAGGACAAGGAGAACTATCTACAGACAACTGAGAAACCAAGATAAAGAGGCCTCCCAATTTAGGGAGGAGAGAAACTGTTAGGCTTTTTAAGGAGTATGAAATATGGTGCAGGATATTGTGAGGACGGCAATAACTAAGGAATGCATGTGTGTGTGTATGTATGTATGTGTGTATGCATGTGTGTGTGTGTGTATGTATGTGTGTGTGTGTGTATGTGAACTGATGGTCAGGAGAGCAGTTTTAAAGTGGAAAACTACAGCCCGCCTAAAGAGGGGAGGGATTTTTGTATGACGTGTGAGTATAAAAGATGGACTCTGAAATTGTGATGGCAGAATTCTCAATGAATAAACATCTCTGACTATGCAGACAGGGACTCTGTCTGTTTCTTGATCCTTTTGGGAGACGCACAGAGACACTGAAATCGTTTGTTAAATAATTCACATAACACTTTTACAGCGCTGTGGAGGAATTTTGGCCCACTCATCTTTGCAGAATTGTTGTAATTCAGCCACATTGGAGGGTTTTCGAGCATGAACTGCCTTTTTAAGGTCATGCCACAGCATCTCAATAGGATTCAGGTCAGGACTTTGACTAGGCCACTCCAAAGTCTTCATTTTGTTTTTCTTCAGCCATTCAGAGGTGGACTTGCTGGTGTGTTTTGGATCATTGTCCTGCTGCAGAACCCAAGTTCGCTTCAGCTTGAGGTCACAAACAGATGGCCGGACATTCTCCTTCATGATTTCTTGGTAGACAGCAGAATTCATGGTGCCATTTATCACAGCATGTCTTCCAGGTCCTGAAGCAGCAAAACAGGCCCAGACCATCACACTACCACCACCATATTTTACTGTTGGTATGATGTTCTTTTTCTGAAATGCGGTGTTACTATTACGCCAGATGTAATGGGACACACACCTTCCAAAAAGTTCAACTTTTGTCTCGTCAGTCCACAGAGTATTTTCCCAAAGGTCTTGGGGATCATCAAGATGTTTTCTGGCAAAAATGAGACGAGCCTTAATGTTATTTTTGCTCAGCAGTGGTTTTCGTCTTGGAACTCTGCCATGCAGGCCATTTTTGCCCAGTCTCTTTCTTATGGTGGAGTCATGAACACTGACCTTAACTGAGGCAAGTGTTGTTGTGGGGTCTTTTGTGACCTCTTGGATGAGTCGTCGCTGCGCTCTTGGGGTAAGTTTGGTCGCCGGCCACTCGTGGGAAGGTTCACCACTGTTCCATGTTTTTGCCATTTGTGGATAATGGCTCTCACTGTGGTTCGCTGGAGTCCCAAAGCTTTAGAAATGGCTTTATAACCTTTTCCAGACTGATGGATCTCAATTACTTTCTTTCTCATTTGTTCCTGAATTTCTTTGGATCTCGGCATGATGTCTAGCTTTTGAGGATCTTTTGGTCACTTTGTCAGGCAGGTCCTATTTAAGTGATTCCTTGATTGAGAACAGGTGTGGCAGTAATCAGGCCTGGGTGTGGCTAGAGGAATTGAACTCAGGTGTGATAAACCACAGTTGAGTTGTGTTATAACATGGGGGCAAACACTTTTTCATACAGGGCCATGTAGGTTTGGATTTTATTTTCCCTTAATAATAACAACCTTCATTTCAAAACTGCATTTTGTGTTTACTTGTGTTATCTTTGACTAATATTTAAATTTGTTTGATGATATGAAACATTTAAGTGTGACAAACATGCAAACAAATAACAAATCAGGAAGGGGGCAAACACTTTTTCACACCACTGTAGATCTGGGATGAACTGAATAGATCAGGGATGAACTGAATAGATCAGGGATGAACTGAATGTATCAATAAGTTCTATTAAATGAAATAGCTTGAAGAGAATAAGTGATGATCACATGATCCAGGCTCTGTCGTAGCCGGCCGCGACCGGGAGACCCATGGGGCGGCGCATAATTGGCCCTGCGTCGTCCAGGGTAGGGGAGGGAATGGCCGGTAGGGATGTAGCTCAGTTGGTAGAGCATGGCGTTTGCAACGCCAGGGTTGTGGGTTCAATTCCCACGGGGGGCCAGTATGAAAAATTAAATAATGTATGCACTCACTAACTGTAAGTCGCTCTGGATAAGAGCGTCTGCTAAATGACGTAAATGTAAAATGTAAATGTAATGATGGAGCAGTTAGTTGTTTGACTGACAAATAGCCTGAGAGTTTTCTTTTTACCTCTCATAATCCTCTTTCAGTCTCTCTAATTCTCTTTCTCTCTCCGCCTGCTTTTGCACCTCTCCCGCCATCTTCTCTCTCTCTAGCTTCATCTCTCTTTCTTTCTCCTCCAGCCGGGATTTGAGGCCCAGGAGCTCCTGATACCTGGAGAACATGAAGGTGTTATGAACGTTGCTATGAATTATACTTAAACACTCATTAAGGTGTCATTACTGATTTCATAAACATAATTCTATCGGGGGTTTTTCACAAGTCAGTATACAGTGTATTCAATGGCATATGGAACTCCAATCAGACTGCTTTCATAAAGTTAACAATGCCTTATGTATACTTCTTTAAATAAAGTGTTACTTGGTGTTCCCTACCTTCCCTCCAGCTCCCTGTGTTCCCTACCTTCCCTCCAGCTCCCTGTGTTCCCTACCTTCCCTCCAGCTCCCTGTGTTCCCTACCTTCCCTCCAGCGCCCTGTGTTCCCTACTTTCCCTCCAGCTCCCTGTGTTCCCTACCTTCCCTCCAGCTCCCTGTGTTCCCTACCTTCCCTCCAGCTCCCTGTGTTCCCTACCTTCCCTCCAGCTCCCTGTGTTCCCTACCTTCCCTCCAGCGCCCTGTGTTCCCTACCTTCCCTCCAGCTCCCTGTGTTCCCTACCTTCCCTCCAGCTCCCTGTGCTGTGTCTCCAGGTTACGGTTGCTGCTCCTCAGGTGGGAGTGTCTATCCAACAGCTCCTCTAGCTCCGCCTCCTGCCTCTGGTGCAGCGCTGTCATTCGCTCCTGGTCCCTCCTCAGCCCCTCCGTCCTGACCAATGACTCCTCATGTTCCCTGGCCCACACCTTAGACTCCGCCTCCAGAGCAGCACACCTGGCCTCGCTCTCGCTGCACCTCGCCAACACCGCTGCCTGCTGGAAACTCAGGGACGCCTGCTCCACCTGGGAGAGGGGGGGAAGTTGGAAATCAAACACTGTGACACTCGGACACAGGTGACAGTACTACAGTCTCTGAAGTGGCGAGAGGACCCAGTTTCAGGATAATAACTATATAAAACAATAGTAGCTGTATGATACCTGTAGCTGAGTGTTGAGTGTCTGCAGCTTGGTGCAGGTCTCCTGCAGGGTGATAGAGTGATGTTGCAGGGTGTCTATCTGCTCCCTCAGGTGGCTACAGGCGGACTGGGACTGAGACAGCTGGGATAGCAACACCTCCCGCTCTGCACCCGCCGCTGCATTCTGAGGGGGTGGTGAGAAAGAGATGATATGACTAGAGACAATTGACAATCACATGATAAATTGTCATAGCATATACCAGCAGATTAGAACCTTGACAGGTGAAAACACACAGACACACACCTCCCGCTCCTAATCCACCGTGAGAGGGAGGTGGGGGGGGGGTTTGGCACAGCAAATATCAACAAAGACAAAAAACGTCAGGTGAACACACACACCTCTCTCTCCAGGTCTATCAGTCGTTCACTCATAGACCAGTCCATCTTCTCTACTCCAGCATCTGAGGTCGTACAGAGGTCATGGCCCTCCTTTGGTTGGGCATCTTTAGCCTCTGGGTGCTCTAATGTGAGTCTGTCTGAGGATGTAGCCTTCAGTATGTTAGCAGGGATTTCTGGTGGGAAATTAGCAGAGACAGCATCTCTCTCCCACTTCTCTGAAAGGAGAAGGTCAGCGGTAACTGTCTTCAGTTCAGCCTCCACCCTGTCCAACTCCTGCTTCAGCCGTGCAGCCTCATTGGACAGTTCTTGGGACTGCACCTTCTCATTGGTTAGCTCCTGTGGGAAAAGGAAAGGATGAAAAATGGATTTCTAGGATCAAGGCACATATACACATATATAAACATATACACACATATATATACACACATATACAGTGAGGGAAAAAAGTATTTGATCCCCTGCTGATTTTGTACGTTTGCCCACTGACAAAGACATGATCAGTCTATAATCTTAATGGTAGGTTTATTTGAACAGTGAGAGACAGAATAACAACAAATAAATCCAGAAAAACGCATGTCAAAAATGTTATAAATTGATTTGCATTTTAATGAGGGAAATAAGTATTTGACCCCTCTGCAAAACATGACTTAGTACTTGGTGGCAAAACCCTTGTTGGCAATCACAGAGGTCAGACGTTCCTTGTAGTTGGCCACCAGGTTTGCACACATCTCAGGAGGGATTTTGTCCCACTCCTCTTTGCAGACCTTCTCCAAGTCATTAAGGTTTCGAGGCTGACGTTTGGCAACTCAAACCTTCAGCTCCCTCCACAGATTTTCTATGGGATTAAGGTCTGGAGACTGGCTAGGCCACTCCAGGACCTTAATGTGCTTCTTCTTGAGCCACTCCTTTGTTGCCTTGGCCGTGTGTTTTTGGTCATTGTCATGCTGGAATACCCATCCACGACCCATTTTCAATGCCCTGGCTGAGGGAAGGATTTGACGGTACATGGCCCCGTCCATCGTCCCTTTGATGCGGTGAAGTTGTCCTGTCCCCTTAGCAGAAAAACACCCCCAAAGCATAATGTTTCCACCTCCATGTTTGACGGTGGGGATGGTGTTCTTGGGGTCATAGGCAGCATTCCTCCTCCTCCAAACACGGCGAGTTGAGTTTATGCCAAAGAGCTCGATTTTGGTCTCATCTGACCACAACACTTTCACCCAGTTCTCCTCTGAATCATTCAGATGTTCATTGGCAAACTTCAGATGGCCCTGTATATGTGCTTTCTTGAGCAGGGGGACCTTGCGGGCGCTGCAGGATTTCAGTCCTTCACGACATAGTGTGTTACCAGTTGTTTTCTTGGTGACTATGGTCCCAGCTGCCTTGAGATCATTGACAAGATCCTCCCGTGTAGTTCTGGGCTGAATCCTCACCGTTCTCATGATCATTGCAACTCCACAAGGTGAGATCTTGCATGGAGCCCCAGGCCGAGGGAGATTGACAGTTATTTTGTGTTTTCTTCCATTTGCGAATAATCGGACCAACTGTTGTCACCTTCTCACCAAGCTGCTTGGCGATGGTCTTGTAGCCCATTCCAGCCTTGTGTAGGTCTACAATCTTGTCCCTGACATCCTTGGAGAGCTCTTTGGTCTTAGCCATGGTGGAGAGTTTGGAATCTGATTGATTGATTGCTTCTGTGGACAGGTGTATTTTATACAGATAACAAACTGAGATTAGGAGCACTCCCTTTCAGAGTGTGCTCCTAATCTCAGCTCGTTACCTGTATAAATGTCATGAACCCTGCGTCCTGAGTCTGTTCCTGCCTGTGTTGCTGTTTTTCTGCTCTGAATCTCCTGTTTCCTGAAGGTTCCTGAACGCACCCTGTCCGGTTGCCGGGCGACGTTGCTAGGCGGGTGATCTCTCGATTACCCGCACCTGCTTCTCATCAGCTTCGGCACACCTGGTCCTGATCATCACCCCTTCATAAGCTCTGACCTGACATCCATTCCCTGCCGGATCGTTAGCCATGAACAGTATGTTTTGTCAGCGTATCAGCCTCTGAGTTACTAGCGTTAGTTTTGTTGTTTTGCACCTTATTGGCCTGCCGTGTACTTACCTCCGTTTTTTTCTGTCTACAGTCATTCTCCCGGGACCTTCACCCAACCCCTGCCTGGTTATCGGCGGCTGCCGTGCCATCATTGGATCTGCCACTTCACCTCCACCAACTCATCTCCGCCGCCCGCTCCGTCTCCTGGATTATTCTGCATTTTTTTGAATCTGTAATAAATACTCACCTTCGTTCAACTCACCTTGTCCTGGTCTGCTTCTGGGTTCTGTCGTAGAGAACCGTGACAATAAAAGACACCTGGGAGCCAGAAATCTTTCTGATTGAGAGGGGGTCAAATACTTATTTCCCTCATTAAAATGCAAATCAATTTATAACATTTTTGAAATGCGTTTTTCTGGATTTTTGTTTAGTTTTCTGTCTCTCACTGTTCAAATAAACCTACCATTAAAATTATAGATTGATCATTTCTTTGTCAGTGGGCAAACGTACAAAATCAGCAGGGGATCAAATACTTTTTTCCCTCACTGTATATACACACATATACACACACATATATATACACACACACATACAGTTGAAGTCGGAATTTTACATACACTTAGGTTGGAGTCATTAAAACTCGTTTTTCAACCACTCCACAAATTTCTTGTTAACAAACTATAGTTTTGGCAAGTCGGTTAGGACATCTACTTTGTGCATGACACAAGTAATTTTTCCAACAATTGTTTACAGACAGATTATTTCACTTATAATTCACTGTATCACAATTCTAGTGGGTCAGAAGTTGGCATACACTAAGTTGACTGTGCCTTTAAACAGCTTGGAAATTTTCTAAAAATGATGTCATGGCTTTAGAAGCTTCTGATAGGCTAATTGACATCATTTGAGTCAATTGGAGGTGTACCTGTGGATGTATTTCAAGGCCTACCTTCAAACTCAGTGCTTCTTTGCTTGACATCATGGGAAAATCAAAAGAAATCAGCCAAGACCTCAGAAAAGAAATTGTAGACCTCCACAAGTCTGGTTCATCCTTGAGAGCAATTTCCAAACGCCTGAAGGTACCACATTCATCTGTACAAACAATAGTATGCAAGTATAAACACCATGGGACCACGCAGCCGTCATTCCGCTCAGGAAGGAGGCGCGTTCTGTCTCCTAGAGATGAACGTACTTTGGTGCGAAAAGTGCAAATCAATCCCAGAACAACAGCAAAGGACCTTGTGAAGATGCTGGAGGAAACAGGTACAAAAACATCTATATCCACAGTAAAACGAGTCCTATATCGACATAACCTGAAAGGCCGCTCAGCAAGGAAGAAGCCACTGCTCCAA